CCTAAACCCTATTATTATTATTATTATGTGAGTTTATTAGAATGCTAGAATGTTGCTCGGCCTCGTTGTGGGCTTATGCAATTTGATCCTAGTCTAAAGAGGCGCTCGAGCACGGCCTACAATGCGAACCCTGCTTCTGAGGCGTCTTTCTACTTTCTACTTTTGCTGTCTTCTCTTGGCTTCCTCAGCCTCAGTCAGGAGAGTTGCCTCTCCTCACCTTGGCCTTCGGTCACCACCTACTCTACCTCCATTCAGCTTCCTCAGCCTCAGTCAGGAGAGTTGCCTCTCCTCACCTTGGCCTTCAGTCGCCACCTTGGCCTTCGGTCGCCCCCTACTCCTTCTCTACTTACCTTGAGCTCAGCTCAAGCTCGGTACGGGCTCGCCCCGTCTTCTTCCTCGCCCTCGCCTTGCTCTTCCTCCATGTCTTCCTCTTCTTCGCCATCTTCCCTCATCTCCACCCGCAGTCGGTCCTTCTTGTCCACCTTCAGCGAGCAGGCCAGCACATGCATCTCTGCGAATTTACTCAGTGCTATGAACAGGAAGCTAAGAGATCGACGCTCTATGTCGTCGCTCTCCGCCTCCTGCTCAAGCTCAGCAGCTGCCGTTGCCCGTGGCGAGAACGCGCTGCCCCTCCTTGCCTTCTTGCTCTCTCCTTGCACGCGAGTCCAGCGCTTGCTCTGCAGCCACTTCCCCAGCTTCTCCTTGAGAACGTTGCGTCCCACTCCCTGCTCCTCTGGCATCTTCGCCCACTCTCCCAGCGACATGAACTCCAGGCTCCCCGGGGAGTAGAAGGTGTCGTGGAGGTTGCCAACGGCCTTGTCCAGGACCAGCTTGATCGGCTCGCTCGTCCCCGCCTCGTTCAAAGAAGCTGCATCTTCGATGACTGCTGACAGCTCGCTGACGAGCTGCATGTCCTCTTGGCTTGACGGAGATGCTGCCTCCATTGTGATCCTCTCCAGGTCTGTAAACTCCAGCCACTCTCCCTCGCTCTCCTCCTGTCGCTGCGCTGCGTCGCTGGTGCCCCGCTGACCAGCCGCCTCAGAGTCAGGCTCCTTGTCGAAGCCGACTGCTTCGAGCTTGGTTGCTGCGCCTTCGAGATAGAAGGGCAGCTCCTTCATCATGCGTCGAGCATCCTCCGTGGAGCCGAGGAGGATGCATAGCTTGGACCCGTTCCAGGACTTGGTGTTCAAATCCTCCTCCATGTCGATGCCTTCAACGTTGATCTCGAGCCTGTTAGCGATCTCCAACAAGACTCTCTTGACTCTTGCGATAGACGTGTTGCCGCCGTTGCACAGCCCCTCCATCTCCTTCCTCGTGAAGCGACCAGATGCCGCCGTCGACTTGATGATGATCTTGATCTCCTTGCCGTCCTTGCCGCCTGCCTTCTTCTGCATCCTTGATGCCTTCTTCAACTTATTTCTGGACACAAAGCGATCAGCTGTCAACTCGACTGCGAGCGCCTCTCTGATCTTCGGGTCCTCGCTGAACAGAGTCAGGTGTACTCCCTCCATCGCTTCGCTCTCTCGGAAAGCTCGAAATGCTGTATCATTCGCCTCTGGGCAGCTCGAGGAGACGATCCACTCCACCTCCCTCTGTCTCCAGATGACGTTGGCCCCTACAGCGATGAAGCCTTTCTGACCTAAGCCTTTGTGGACTTGCTGTCCTGGCGCCCCAGCGACCAGCATGCCTGCCAGCGGCTGGAGTTGGACCGCTGCAAGGGACTGGCGCAGCAGCTGATAGCGATAGACGGCAGCTATCTCAGCCGTTGTCATGCCGCCCAAGGTTAGCAGGTGAGTCAGCTCTGCCAAGCTGCCCCCTTTGCCCCAGGGTCCTCTCTTGGCTCGAATCTTGAAAGATCTATCGTGCACGATGCTCACATGTACAGCTGTGAACTTGCGACCATCGATCGCGAAGTCCTCTCTTCCCTGCCAGAGCTTCTCCGCTTGTGCATTGCGGAGGAAGGAAACAGTCACCGGGATCTCCTCAGCACTCGCTATCTCGGGTCTATACGGAGCCTTCCACATGATTGCTTTACTCTCTTGCACTGAGTCTACGATCAGTCCGATCTCTTCAAATTTCTTCTTCAGCTTTTCTTCATGGTTGACATACACCGAGGAGATGCCCAGGAGAGTCATGGAGATGAAGGAAGTCACCTCGTTGCCTGCTGAGGCGGTGTATGTCTCGACCTTCTCCTTCTTGGCTTCTTCAATCTGCTGCATAAACCACTCTCTGGATGCGTCACTCCATCCAGTCATCGCTTCTTGCAGAAACTCACGTCGTGCCTGCTGACATGTCGAGCGGATGGCTTCAGCGATAGCGTCGGGGGTGCATCCCTCCACAGCCTTGCAAGCCTGGGCTGTCCTGCTGTTCGGATAACGCTTCGCGAAGCTCTTCACCCTCTCGACGAGATCAGCTTCGAGGACAGAGGCATCCACAAGTCCGCTCTGCGTGTATTGGCATGATCTCCGATACAGCAGGTTGCGAACATTTTCATCATACTGAAGAACCATACTTAGAAAGCTATTTGAAGTATACAAACCTCTTGCTTGCAGCTTCCTTGGCGCCCTGGCGGCTTCCCCTACACCTGACGAGGAGCCATGCTGCCGAAAATAACGGCGCCTGCCGAAAATAACGGCGCCTGCCGAAAATAACGGCGCCTGCCGAAAATAACGGCGCCTGCCGAAAATAACGGCGCCTGCCGAAAATAACGGCGCCTCTGCCGAAAATAACGGCGCCTGCCGAAAATAACGGCGCCTCTAAACCCTAAACCCTAAACCCTAAACCCTAAACCCTAAACCCTAAACCCTCTCCATCAGGACTCGTCGGAGATTCTGTTCCTGGAGCCGCCCCCGGTGTTCGGCCTATGCATACTAGAGCGGACAAGTACGTGCAGCCGGGGTGGGAGCTGGAGAAGCGGCTATCAGGGATGCGACTAGGCTGGCACCAAGAGCTGAGGAGGCTAGTCGTCCTCTTCTACGCTGGCCATGGGATGAAGGCAGGAAGGGCCAAAGAAGACGACCTGATCCCCTGTGAGGTAAGGACGATGGACTGAGACCGAGGAGGAGGTAGAGGACTACACTGTGACTCTCAGTCTGTTTCCTTGTTGTCATCGATGCCTGCAGATACCGGGAGGGTCTGCAGGAGACGGGACGGCTGCTCCCGCAGCAGGCGGCGAAAGACGTCTTGCCTCGATCATTCAACTGCTGGTGCCTGACAGAGACAAACAGCTTCTTTGGGAGGAAGCTATTTCGAAATTGAAGAGAAGGAAGACGTCAGGGGTGTTGCTTTCAAGTTAGTCAGATTAATCGGACAAGCGAGACTGCTGCAGTCTTTCTATTTGCACAGCATGATGTCAGGGCACGTGGGCGATCAGTTTGTACATTTCTACGAGAAATATGGCATTCAACTAGCCTGACTATTGAACATGTCGTGCATCGAGCATCGACATCAACTTCAGGGAAGAGATGCATATCGAGCTGCTGCCATGATCGGGAACAGCTACATTGGACTCGGAGAAGAAGGAAGCTGCTACTGCATCTAACGGGCAACTTGACCATGTGTGGGATATGCACTGTCCATGCGGTAGTCACTGATGGACCTTCACGAAATGCAGATGACAAGAAGAAATTCAACAATTCGGTTCGAGCACACTTCACTTTGTTGTGGCAGCTCCTTCAAAGTAAATTAATGTCTGAGTAAAGTCGCGTTCAATCTGGATGCCTCCAAATCTCTGTGCGAAACGTGCACAATCGTACCATTCTTTCAAACTTGAAAGAGATGCATGTGTATTGCGTCCTCTAATTTCGTTTTCAATTTCGTTTCAAGGTGACTGTCAGTGCGCCCTCGAAATATAACGAACCTGATCCAGGTTCTATCATGTAGGGTTCATCCTTGAAAGGCACAGGAAATTCTCTGTTAATGACAGGATTCTGTACGAGTGATGTACTGATGGTCCAACTGCACTCACTTTTCATCCGGGGTTTCAAGAAGGGCTTCCCACCGGCGTTTGCGAAACCAGTTAACTATACTACCGTAGTCCTAATCTTGTGCAGATCGATGTTGAGACGGCGGATGATTCCACTTCGAAATTTCCCATTGACATCAGTAAACCTCACACCATGACATGGTACCAGATTGAATGACATGCAGTGTCTAAACCTTCAACGTGGTGTAGTAATTCAAAGTGCACAGAATGATCGAAGGCATTTGCTGCAAGGAACAACGGTGCCCCTTGGATGTATCTCATGCGAATGAAGAGGATCAACTTGTTCTCTTGCTCCAATCTCCTCCTTTTGGCAATGCCGAGCGATGAGGCAGCCCTTGACGACGGTGGCCGCCCCGATTGCGCCGCCATTGTCCGTCAAGGCAAGGAGGATTGCAACTGGTACTGAAAGTAGTACTATGGCATAGGGTATGTGTCGGTACCGTACTGTAACTACCGTTAAAATAACTTGTAAAGAGGCTTGTTGAAATAAACTAAAACAAATGGATACTATGAAGTGGGGTCTCTAACTCGTTTATTAAAATAGCACGCCTAGAAGAAAAAAAAGACCCTACCGAAAAATTTAACTTGTGCCAAATTAACGAAAGGCCTGAAAGCTGAAAGTGAACGGCACGTTCCAAGGGGGGCTGTATGAGGGCTGGAAAAAGGGACTCCCAGGGAGGCCTATGTCGATTAAAGGTTATTCACAGGCCGAGCAACATTTAAGGTGCTTGGTATGCGAGCAGTGCGTATTCTGCTGCAGTTCGGGATCACAAGCAGCACACTGACGTTGACAAGCTCTCACATAATCAAAGGGACGCCTTCTCTCCCTCCTCGCCTAGGCTCATTTGGTATCGCTCGTGCCACGAAGGAAAGCTCGCAATTCTGTAGCTTCATTCATAATTTGGGGTTTTCAACGAAGTCTCTTAGCTTTCAAGTTTGTAGGGTATCTGCATCCAGGTATAGGAAAGATCTCCTTATACACCGAAACTTGAAGGGCAACAAAACAGTAAGACTGATGTCGAGCATACAAACTGGAATGACAGCACAAGAGAAATACTTGTTCGATTTGCAAGGGTTTCTTGTTGTCAGGGGAGTTCTTTCCAAAGACGAAGTTCGAGAAGCCAATGAGGCCATCGACGCTCATGCTGATCAGTTTCAGTCTCGCACGGATGATCATCTGCGCAATGCTAAGATGGGCAGTCCTCTAGCTGGAGATGGTGCAACACCTCGTTTGGACATGGGAGGAATGCTGGGTTGGCCAGCTCCTTATTCAAATGTTTACAGAAAACTTCTTGCTCACCCTAGATTGGTAAGCGAGAAGGATCATGCGCTACAATGCCTCATCTGTTGTGCAGGTGCCCTACCTCAATCAACTATGTGGAGAAGGGTATCGACTTGACCACATGCCACTTGTGATTGCATCCGAAAAGGGAGCGGAAGGATTCAGTCTGCATGGGGGCACCATCAATGCCGATGGAAATTATGTGAAAGTTGTGTTGTTCTTACAACGATTTTCTAAAAGTTTTGCAGGTTCCATACCTTGCTTATCATTTCTCACATGGCAAAATGTACAACAACCTCCTGGCCTGCAGGTGTTGCTCATGTAGGCCAGCAGAACTTGACCGCTGGATTAAACAGTGTCCAGCTTGTAGATCATCCGGCAGGTTCAGGCGGGTTTATTGTGATCCCTGGAAGCCATAAGGTATTGCTTCTTCCTGGTAAATTCCTGTGAATCTGAACTAATGCATGGATAGGCAAATTTTCCCACTCCAATGGCAGTCATCAATGGAGAAGACGGAATGGGAAGGTGGGTGTATCTTAAGCAAGCTGATGAGGTATTGATTTAGTGACTATCCGATGCAGTATAGTGTTTCAACCAGAAACAAAAGCTGGAGATATCATTTTCTTTAGGTAACCTTGTGACTTTGATTCGATACTCCCATTCAACAAAACAACCAGTGAGGGAACAGTGCATGGAGCTGCTCCATGGAATATGCCATACCAGGTGAAGTTGGAAGAATCGTTTGCCAGGCCTAAGCAATTTAACAGAGACGGATTGCGCTCTACCGTTTTGCACCTCCAACGGTTGCATATGGCCGAGCTTACTTCCCTCGATGGCCAGAGAGTTATTATGAGGGGTACACACTGTGTAATTCGTGAACTTTGATTTGACTTCTCTTTCAAAGTCTGTCTGAGGATCAACTGGCTGTGCTGGAGCCCGCTTATAATACGCGACTTGACAGACCCTTGGTTGCAGCACTTGGTCAATAAGCAGACTGACCTACTTTGTGCAGGTGCGACCAACAAGCGATCAACAAGTGGCAGTTGAGCATGAATGGAGGTCTCAAGAGAAAAAGAACTTTGACAAAAGAGTCTTCGGCACCGAATACTTCTGAGCTACAGATAAAATCAAGAGTTTGGGGATAGCTAGGAACGAATAGGATTACGGTTTTTATCCACGTTTCTTGAAAAGAAAAAATCCCAGCCCCACACCTGCAGATAACCCGAGAACTATTGATACCTTCAAAGGAGCAACAATGTGAGAACTGCAAAATCCATGTTCAATTCAATACCATTTTTTCTTGTTTGAATTTTGCACTCTGATCAAGAAGCATGTTTTCTAAGAGCGCTACCTGTAGAAAATCAAATAATCAGATGTCTTCTAGGCCAAGATGTGACCTTATTGTTGGCTGTCACAGTTTCTCCCCATGCTTGCTGATCATACAGTGTAAACGAACCGCTTGAAGCAACTTCTTTGCTTACAGTAAGTTGCTCTGCTAGCCGATCTCTTTGTCTGAAATTTTTCAGAGTAAAGCAAAAAACAAAGCATTCCGCTATGATACCTACTAAGATTTTCGAACTCCTTGTTGAGATTGATAAGCTCCCTATACAAACTATAAGATCTTGCAACAGCCAACGATAAATCCGACCGAGCCCGAGGACTCAAATTTGAGTCGTTTTCCGGCAAATGCAAATTTCTTCTCTTATCATTCGTATCGTCAGTGAGCCTAATTACACCAAAGATCAAAACTTTCATGCTGAAATTTCATGTCACATACAAGGAATTTAGCTGATTTTCAATTTCTTTGAAGTTTTTTACATCTTCTTCAGTCGCAAATGCCAACTGAAATACCCCCTGCAATATTCATCGAAGTTGATGTCTTGGTGAGAAGTCTAATAACTCCTCAATACCTTTTCGCCAGTCTGAAAAAGGGAGGGTCCTTGACCTGATAATTTCAAAGAATCAAAGCAAGGTATACACGCTCAGAAATTACCAGGAAATTCCACCCACCAGCCAGCATACTCGTCTTTACTGGACAATCTTCCAACCTTCATTCCAAATTCAGGCCACGTTTTTCGATCTACGAAGTGACAAAGCGAGTCCAAAGACCTTTCCAACATGTTTTTTGCAGGCCCAATGATTTTGATACTCGATTGAAATCTTGACAAACTATGAAGGAAAATAGTGATTCAGCGTGAAATACAAAACTTGTTAACCTGTCCTTCGCAGCAGCAATTCGTTTCAACCAGGTCTTGCTTCTCGTTGCAATTTGAAGTTTCCAGCATCCCTCAGGTAAAGAATAATAATTTCTGTCAAGCAAAGAGCTGTTATAATTAACTTTCTTGTGGTACTCTCGGATGTCTATGGCGCCCTCTCATCAGCACCACGACACTTATCACCCCCCTTGTTTTCGGCTCCAATCATTCATCTTCCACTGGGCTTCAAGCCTCCTGGATCTCCCTCCCTCCTTCACTCCCCTACCTCCCCTACCATATCTTCCCTTCCCTTCCTCTCTCCCTTCTTTGGTGTATCTTCGTTCTCTCCCTTCTGTCTCGCTATCTCTCGTGTATCGCTCTTGCTTATCACCCTCGCTTGTCGTTTTTGCTCACACACTTATTCGTTCTCTCTAAGCATATATTCCCTTTCACTTATTTCTCTTGTCGTTTACTCGTACACCTGTCTCTTGCTCGCTTCTATCTTTTTCGCATGTAGCCTATCTCCCCCTTCTCGGCCTCTTCTCAGTGCCTTCTCTCTGATTCATCTCTCGCTTGTTCCCTCATTGACTCTTTGCTGTCTAGATCCTCTACATCTCTCTCTTCTGCTCCTGCTCCTGCTCTTGCTCTTGCTCCTGCTCCTGCTCCTCCTTGTTCTTCTTCTTCTTCTGCTGCTGCTGCTCCTGCTCCTCCTTGTTCTTCTTCTGCTCCTGCTCCTGATCCTGATCCTCCTCCTCCTCCTCCTGCTCCTCCTTTGTTCTCTCGTAATACCACCTTTCTTTCCTCTCTCCTCCCCTTCCCTCTCTCATGAGTCTCACCTAAAACAAAAAAGAAAAAAAGCAACATTGTAAAACGAGAGCATGAAAATGGTGGGAGCGCGCATGGACAATCAGACGAGGTGAGAGATTGTGGGCCATGCAGCCTGTTGCTCGATAACAAATGCCATGTCTGAATCCTTGAGCCTCCCACCAACGGCTCCCCCTCCTTCACTGCCGCCATCGCCGCCGCCGCTGCCACCACCACCACCACAGCGAATACCAACCTCACTCTCCGCTGCAGCATCGCAGGCAACAAGAACGGCAACATTTTGTGAAAGAAGTTTCGCTACTACCCATCAGTCTGAGATACACGACGTTGAGCTCAGTAGGATCAAAATTTGCTGGCTGGATACCCTCCCTTCATGCTTCTTGCACGAAGCTGCCCAACTGCTAAACTCCTATTGGCCTCGCTCGCATGATGCAAGACTTCGCAGTCTCGAAAGAAAGTGTCAACTTCCATTGCCGAGAAGTCTTTGCATATGTGAAGATCTGGATGAAACGAGTGTCCAAGATGAGCTCTCGTCTGTTAGGCTCCTTGGCCATGCGAGATTGAAGCAGTGTGCCTTTCATTCAAAGGCGGTCAACTTCAACTAACAATATTTTTATCAGGTGTGAAGACGAGGACGTGATCGTTGAATCTGTCATCATCAAGAATAACCAGCGGGGGCTTGGACTTGGAAGGCTGTTGATGGATGCCGTGGAGTCGGTAAAGTTTTGAATTGTCATGTATACGCCTTCATCTTGCATGCCGTAGGAAGTGCGGAAAATGAGAAAGAAGAGAATATATCTGAGCACTTCAGACAAGAAGGTTGACACCATGGCTTGCATTTCTTATTTAATCATACCAATCATCCAGCCTTTCTATCTTAAATTAGGATATGTCATCTCTTCACTTCCGCCGAAAGCAATGTCAGGGAGTGTTCGCCTGCTGCGAGAAGGTCTCTGCAACTCTGCTTATTGCTTGCTTCATGACGATGTGTGCCCAAAGGTGACGCCAAGCATCTCCTCTCTCGCCTTGTCCGCGGCGATGTAGATTTGCTTGTTCCTAAGACTCTTTTCATGATTGATTGTGTTTATCAGAGCCAGGGGGAGACTTTGAGCTGGCTTGTCAAGGAACTAGAGAAAGTAGAAGGAGAGCAGGTATACTGAAGGATCGAATATGATTTAAATTCATTTCTCAAAGAGTTGAAGGAGTGACCAGAGAAGTAATCCCTTACCTGGTAGTCAAACAATAACATCACTCGAAGCTTTGAAGTGGAAGAGTCTGAAAAATTGAATGTTACTATTGACAGAAATCAGAGAGTCAAAGCGTGATCTTTGCTACCACGCTCTTGATGCCTGTTGGCGATCGTATTTTGAAAGCTTGGAGCATCAGCACTTTGGGTGTTGTTACTAACTGTTCCTGTTATGTAAATAGCAGATCAAAACTTCTGCGGAGAGAAACAACTTCACTTTGACCACTTTCATGCGCAAGGTCTCGCCACACATCTATGCGGGCTTTACTTCGTTTGGCGAGGGAAAAACCATTCTTACCTCGCATTTCTCAGCTTCTTTGTCTATCATTGATTTACAAGCATAGCATGGCTTGTACAGGACATCATGATTCCCAGATCTGCATAGAGGTGGCCTCAACTCAAACAAGGTCAGTGAAATCAACCTTGCATCTCTGTACAAGGAATTAGCCCGTTCCGTTTCTGTCATCTCGTTGAACGACATTCTAATCTCCTTCGATCCACAAATCTATGTGTGATTGCATCAAAATTCCAGGTGACAGTTATGAATTGCTGACCTCGCAGACTTTCGCATGCAGGCCAAGTTTGGAATCACATTGGAGGCACGCAGCATGATCTTCGGAACAGGAAGACGGTTTGCGATGAACGAATTCACAGGCTTCAATGTCTTCAAAAGTCTTCATACCTGCTTCCCCTTCACTCACAATCAAGTTTTTGGACCTTGCTTCCCTCTTCGCTCCCCTCCCCGCTCCCCTCCCCGCTCCCCTCCCCGCTCCCCTCCCCGCTCCCCTCCCCGCTCCCCTCCCCGCTCCCCTTCTCAAGCGAGAGTTGACAAGGAACGGACTTTTCGCCCGACTCCGATTGATTTTTTTTGAAAAAAAAAAAAAGATTTGATTGACCTCGCGGCCTTTCCACACTCTCGACCTGCAGGAAGCTACAAGAGCCAGCTAGCTCTGACGCTTTCAAGGGCGAAGCTACAAGAGCCAGCTAGCTCTGACGCTTTCAAGGGCGAAGCTACAAGAGCCAGCTAGCTCTGACGCTTTCAAGGGCGAAGCTACAAGAGCCAGCTAGCCCTGACGCTTTCAAGGGCGAAGCTACAAGAGCCAGCTAGCTCTGACGCTTTCAAGGGCGAAGCTACAAGAGCCAGCTAGCTCTGACGCTTTCAAGGGCGAAGCTACAAGAGCCAGCTAGCTCTGACGCTTTCAAGGGCGAAGCTACAAGAGCCAGCTAGCTCTGACGCTTTCAAGGGCGAAGCTACAAGAGCCAGCTAGCTCTGACGCTTTCAAGGGCGAAGCTACAAGAGCCAGCTAGCTCTGAAGCTTTCAAGGGCGAAGCTACAAGAGCCAGCTAGCTCTGACGCTTTCAAGGGCGAAGCTACAAGAGCCAGCTAGCTCTGACGCTTTCAAGGGCGAAGCTACAAGAGCCAGCTAGCTCTGAAGCTTTCAAGGGCGAAGCTACAAGAGCCAGCTAGCTCTGACGCTTTCAAGGGCGAAGCTACAAGAGCCAGCTAGCTCTGAAGCTTTCAAGGGCGAAGCTACAAGAGCCAGCTAGCTCTGACGCTTTCAAGGGCGAAGCTACAAGAGCCAGCTAGCCCTGACGCTTTCAAGGGCGAAGCTACAAGAGCCAGCTAGCTCTGACGCTTTCAAGGGCGAAGCTACAAGAGCCAGCTAGCTCTGACGCTTTCAAGGGCGAAGCTACAAGAGCCAGCTAGCTCTGACGCTTTCAAGGGCGAAGCTACAAGAGCCAGCTAGCTCTGAAGCTTTCAAGGGCGAAGCTAGCCTTCATACGTGAAACTGTCATACCGATAGCACTGCGGAGCAGAGAATAACTCTTTGCGAGATTTTCCCACAGATTACCATTGTGGCTCATCAACCTCACCGATGGACGTTTCCACGACCATTTCATTTCTTGTTCAGGCTTATCGTTATCATGACACAGAAGCTGCCTTTCATGAATAGACAGGGGCTGAGATCAGGTGAAATGATAGGCAGTTGTAAACATCTCACCAAGATGGTTTTTGTCTGAATAGATTTCCTTTGTTTTGATTCTGTTTGTTGTAATTTTTCTAAGGAAGTCCAAGAACCCTAACTCATGAATCTTTGTTAGCATTCTTGTAACATGAAGTATGAATGTAGACTAAAAGATAGCCCCCGGTCCTCCAATCGCTTCGCTGTGCACGCAGTGCATCGCCCAAAGATGACACCATAGCATCATCGTATCTGTTCCACTGCTTATGTTCGTGGTCAAATATGTCGCTGACGTAATGTCCAGACGACGCAGATTGTCCACAGTGCGACACGATGGCATGTAGCCGAAATTCGGAATCAATCAAGTTGCAACGAGACTCAAAGTCCACATCCTCGCTTTCTGAGTCTGCGCCCTCGTCAACATTGTCTTCTACAGAGGAATCATCTGAAGTAAGATCAACGTCAGCAGATTTTTCGTTTCCTTGCTCGCTCAGTTCTAAGGCTGCTCGAAGGTCGTCTTCTTCGGTGCCAAGCGAGAACTAGTCAAACCAAGTCATGTAAGAAACTCCATCAGATATCAAATCACCTTTGTTCTATCAAAATTGTTATGCGAAGGTATATCTTTCTTAGCAATGTACTCGGCCATTGAAGCCTGTATCGCCATCGACAGCGCTTCTTCTTCTGCCATTTGCCCCTCTTCCTTCCTCTCTGTATTTGATGTTTTTCTTGGTTTTTGTGACTGTTCAGCCATGCTTTCTTCCCTCATTCGCTTTCCAGTGAGAGAAGCTTTTCCTTGCGTATTTGCATCACTTGCCAATCCTTCCCTATCGACTTCTTCGAAGTCAAGTTTTCGTTGAATTCCTGCATGAGCCAATTAATGTGATATTCGGAAAGATATTGAATATACCTGGTGAACAATGGTCTTGCACATTGTCAAGACAAAGAACGTCGGTGTCATTCAATTTACAAGAGTTGTTTCCACGTTTGCTCTCATGCATTTTCGTCGGAAGGGATGATAGCACATTGTGTTGTTTTGAAGAGGACATGGTATGATCGCAATGGCCTAAAGTAGAAGTGCTGTGTCCCATCCTTGCTCCAGGTGTGGCAAGGGTAGAGCATGACAGCTTTGTTTGTTGCAAATATGTCGTATCAGCTGAGAGTATCTGAACAGAAACGTAAATACAATCGAATCATTGAAGACAGAAACAGTATCACCTTTGCTTCCGACGGACAATCTTTTGGTTTTTGCGTTCCATTGATGCAGAATTCTTTAACATTCAGAATTTTCGGAACTTCGACTGGAACGCTTGATTTTTCATACTTTCCCTCGGACCAGTCAACCTTAAAACGCTTGAGGTGCACTACCAATATTCTTGGTAGTTTTAAGAACTGCAGGACGTGTCAGTTGAAGTTATAATGCCTCAAAAAGTAAATCACCTTGTGAGAAGCAAGGGTTTCAGTGTGATTGCATTTCTCACACCTGTATTCCAATACGTTGTCAGAGAAATAATCTGAAACCAAATCCTGCAATCGAAGTTTGTTTTCTTGATCCTGCAAAGTATTAGCAATTTTTTTATATTGCAAGAATGAAACATGAGAAACGGTAAGATTTACCAAGTCAATATCTGGAATTGGAAGGGAGATTTCTCGGAAACATTCCTTTTTGTTGCGATTGTACTTGCAAGCAGTGTTGCGGCACTGCAATCTGTGAATGACCTGACAGACAAACTTATTTGTGCAAAGTGCAAGTTTCTAAAACTTACTTCGAAGCCCATATTGTCATCAACAGTATTACATACAGGAAAACTCCGTGTCAACTTTTTTGACTTCAAACTTTTCTCAAGCTTTGATAGATAAGTCAGTCCACACGAACACGGTTAGTTTTCGTCAATCAACCCTTTTCAGCTCCATCGAAATGGCATCGAGACAATTTGTATAGAATTCATGCGCATCTTGTTGTTCTTGACCAGCGAATTGCTTAGATCTGACACAAACACTCACAAAAGAATCAGTCACCCTGAAGGCAACCTCTTTCCGACAGCTTCTTTCAAAGGTCTCAAATCAAGAACACCATGGTTTTTACTCTGTGTCTGAGAGGTTCATATTGTGAGCAGACTTTAGACTTTGTGAACTTTGTGCATATATCATGCCTGTTTTGATATCCCTCGCAGAGCGTTGAAAATGTGTAGCCTTAAGCCGACATGAATATAATCCTCGGTTTTCAATCCTGTCTTCAGTATAGTAGAAATACTGAATAATTAGAAAAATTAACGCCCAATCATTGATTTCCAATTAAATGTGGCTACCTTTCAATGTCATGCACAAAAGTCTTGAGATTCACAAGTACACTTGTGATGGCTGCCATGTAGCAGGAGTTTCCGATGTTCCGGAAGCCCGAGAGCTGTAAGGGTTTCCCATAAAAGTTTGTCATTTTAGTTTGTTCTTTATTTGGAGTGCTGATAACTCCTGTAGTCTGGTATGACGGAATCAATTTCACACATTGACTTCTATGCAAACCTTGATCTTAGGAGAGCTTCCTAATTTGGATGCTGTTGAAACATAAATATCCTTGAGGTTATCGATGTGTTCAATTTTCTTTGTAAGGCTTGTCTTCACTAAAGCACCAGCCCTTTTGCTTCCCATCCTTTCAATTCTTGAAATTTCATCCTGAAGTTGAGTTGAAATTGATATACGACACCAAACACAAAGTAGAATGCAATCAGCTAAAAAGAAATTCATACCTTCGACATTTGTTTCTTTTCTCCACTTGATAATGGCCCTGAACATTGTTGTACGACAACGGAAGGAACTGTACCATCACATCGGATAAATAGATTCGGAAATCCCATTAAATCCTGCGCTGACTCTGCTACCTTTATCAAGTTGTCAAATTGAGACCTTTTAGTTTTGTTGGTGACTCGCAAATATAGAGGACACTCCACCACTCCATTCAATCCATGGACCGAGAAGACTATCTTAAAACTGGTATGATCACTGTCTACACGAGAGACGGTCCGAAGTCTCTGGTGTCTCACTGTTGTTGTTCCATTGACAACACATCGCACGAAAAACATTGGCGCATTCCTTCCAGTGTGATAAGCAACCCACAGACAGTCTCCCTGTATTCACAGTTCACTCGTAGTAAATGGGCACAAATAGACTACCTTTGATGTTTCCATCTGTGCTCCAGTATACAGCAAGTCTCCAAATACCCAAAAGTCGGTTGAAAGATGTTGGAACTCATGCTCACAACCCATGGTCCCAAGTGTCTCGGCAAGGCCAGGAAAAAGCTTCGTTTGCTGCTGAGGATAGAGATTTCGCCTGCATACAGCACCAAATAGTCAGTTGTTGCTTTTGCAATGAGGCCATGGGTACAATTGATGAATGAACTTCAACAAACTCAGGTATTCAAATGGAATTCGGAAGGCTATGGCTCTTGAAATAAAAAGCAGTTCTCTACTGCCACCGCCAATCCATGCTTGCCTCTCTTATATTTAGGTATTCGTGCTTGTCGATTCATGCTCACTCGCTCCCACGCACTTTTCCTCCTGCCGCCTTTCTCCATCATACGCTTGCATGAAACAACACAGCACCATACGCGCGGGAACAAGCCCTTCCACACAACCATTCCCTACCCTACCTACAGCAGGAAATATTGAGGGTAGTGGTACTAAAGGTTCGGAAGGCTCATCCGGCCGTGAACGTGAACTTCGGAACTTGCCACCCGGGCCGGGCCGTCTGAGTCTTTCCTAAGTTACCGTACTCAAACGGTTATGTTGAACTTAAACTTGAACAGTGACTGCCACGGATCACTGCCACGGAACGAGCCTCCGTGGGACTCCGGCGAGGACGATGATCAGCAGAGCCTGAACCCGGCACGGCTGCCCGGCAGGAGGGCAGTGGCCGCCGGCGTTGAAAAGCGAAGGCCCTGATTGGGGGATGCCGGCGTTGAAAAGCGAAGGCCCTGATTGGGGGATGCCTGACTCAGTGAGTCAATGAGCTGACGACCGTACCTACCGTACTGTAGTTCTCGACTCTCATTTATCCTCAGAGACACCGTGACGGTCGGGACGGCGCGGGGATGATTGCCGCCGTCCGTAAAATAAGCCGGGGCGGCCATGCTACCCGTAGGCACAGCAGGCTTGCGGCGAGGCCGAGCCTGGGCCTCGCGGCGCGGCCTGACCGTGTGGGTGACCGTGACCATCATGGCATCCGAGGCCGGCGCGGCCGCACCCGCGGCTGGTGACAGTGTCGACATTATCGCTGTGTAATTTATATCGGAAGTTGTGCAGGGCTGATAATGAGAGTCACGGTGACGGTGAGTGCTAGCGAGCTTTCAAAGTTTGAATCGACCCTTGAAGGCTAAGTGACTGCAAGAAAGGACCGTTCAGTAACAAACTTCGTCAGCCAGGTCACGACATTATTGCCATAGAACAGTCCGATCTTCATCGATTTATCGCTCCTTCACTGGATTGTGCCATGATAGAAAATAGAGAACGGTGACGGACGAGGCGACAAAGGCTCTGCTCAGGAATGAGGCAAGACCTCAGGCATCAACTTGCGCTCCTTCACGAGGCAGGACACGCGGGACACGGAATTTCCCATGTTGTTTACAGCTTCTGTTTGTTCCTTGAGTTGAGCCTCGTGAGAAGCTAGATTTCTGAGAGGCTAGGCTTCTGCGAGGCTAGGCTTCTGAGAGGCTAGGCTTCTGCGAGGCTAGGCTTCTGAGAGGATAGGCTTCTGAGAGGCTAGGCTTCTGAGAGGATAGGCTTCTGAGAGGATAGGCTTCTGAGAGGCTAGGCTTCTGAGAGGATAGGCTTCTGAGAGGATAGGCTTCTGAGAGGCTAGGCTTCTGAGAGGCTAGGCTTCTGAGAGGCTAGGCTTCTGAGAGGCTAGGCTTCTGAGAGGCTAGGCTTCTGAGAGGCTAGGCTTCTGAGAGGCTAGGCTTCTGAGAGGCTAGGCTTCTGAGAGGCTAGGCTTCTGAGAGGCTAGGCTTCTGAAAGGCTGGGCTTCTGAGAGGCTAGGCTTCTGAGAGGCTAGGCTTCTGAGAGGCTAGGCTTCTGCGAGGCTAGGCTTCTGCGAGGCTAGGCTTCTGAGAGGATAGGCTTCTGAGAGGCTAGGCTTCTGAGAGGATAGGCTTCTGAGAGGCTAGGCTTCTGAGAGGCTAGGCTTCTGAGAGGATAGGCTTCTGAGAGGCTAGATTTCTGAGAGGCTAGGCTTCTGCGAGGCTAGGCTTCTGAGAGGCTAGGCTTCTGAGAGGCTAGGCTTCTGAGAGGCTAGGCTTCTGCGAGGCTAGGCTTCTGAGAGGCTAGGCTTCTGAGAGGCTAGGCTTCTGAGAGGCTAGGCTTCTGAGAGGCTAGGCGTTCGGAGACAATCTTGTCGATCTGGGCCTCCGACGGCCAAATCTTCCGCCGTTTCCCAGATTGAGAAACACCTGCTGATGTAGACTAGCGGTCCCGGTTGCACCTCAGTTTCAATGAGGACCAGGAGATGATCGAACTGTGAGCGAGAAACATGTATGCACTGCACCTATTTCTCTGCATGTTCGGCAGTTCTCGACATTTTCATTCGTTTTCCTCATTAGGAGAGCACTTGATAAAAGCACGAGAGCAGAAAAGAAGGCACGTAGTTGGGGTGGGGTGGTGGTGGAGGGCGGGGGAGCGAGAGTGAGGACGCAAGAAGGGCAAG